GGGGGGGACGCTTCACCAGGACAGGCCCACAGAGGAGCTGCTTTGCTCAGAGGCTGTGGTGGAGTGGGGAATGCCGCAGCCATCACACCCAGGAATAGAGAAAATTATGGTACAGACAGAGCAGGTCGCATTTGGAGTTTTAGTAAGCAGAGAGCCTCAGAAGGCAGAGTCACTAGTCTAAGAACCGTGTGACACAGGCCTCAGAGGCTGGCTAGCCTGCCCTGAGGTGTCCCCTAGACTAATTTGTTTCTAGTTTAGGAGTGCTGGGCCCACGGATTCTTCCCCAATCTCTCTCTTTATGTCCCCCTCCGAATAAACAGTACACATGAGTGAACACATACACAAAGCCCTTGCTCTGTTCCTGGGTGACCACAGGCAAATTCAATCACATTCGGCACACAACACACACCCCCTACAATTCTATACACAATATACATACACAATAAAATAAGTAGCACTGGGGATAATGTTCCGGGCTGAACTGTGTGCCCCTGAAATTCATATGTTGAAGTCCGAACCCCCCCAGTGCCTCAGAATGTGACTGCATTTGGAGATAGGGTCTTTAGAGAGGTAATCAGCCTAAAACGATATTAGGGTGGGTCCTAAAGTGCCCTTATTTGAAGAGGAGATCAAGACATAGGCACGTACCAAGAGAAGACCGTGTGACAACAAAGAGAGAAGATGGCCATCTGAAACCAAGGAGGAACGCCTCAGAAGAAACCACCCCTTTTTACATCTTGATATTGGACATCTAGCCTCCAGAATTGTGAGAAAATAAATTTCTGTGGTGCAAGCCTGTGCCAGCCTGTGGCACTTTGTTATGGCAGCCCAAATTCATATAGATAATAACAGTAACTCCACGGTATCAGACATCAGTATGCAGGAAAAGAGATTCCCTCAAGACTCGTGTCGCTTTGTTTTAGCATACCGATTTCTAGGAATTTCACATTTGGGATTTTGCAGCCACTGGTCCAGACCAGGATTGAGGATGCTTCCCTCAGATCTCACAGTGATCCTTGGCCAGGCTCATCTATACCCTCAGAGTCTCTTTGTGAGTTCCCATGCTTGCCATAATCCCTGATACTATTAGGGGATTTTAGCTTGTGGAGTCCTCTTTTCCTCCTTACGTGAGAGTATTATTGTGAAACAGGAAAGAAAGGAAAAGGAGGAAAATGATAACTTTTCTTACATACTCATTGGTGCTAAATCTGGTGGGCTGGGGGCTGGAGAAAGGGCGAAGACCAATATGGAGCAACGGGCTGGGTTATTTCCAGTCTGCTGGGGAGAAGGAAAAGGGAGAACAAGGTTGCTACAGCAAAAAAGAGAGCATCTAGTCTTGGGGGAGAAAACCTAGAAGAAGTGTGAGCAGGCCCGGGAGAAGGAACAGCATGCAGGGGGAAGTGAGCACATAACCTCCGGGGTAGCACTATCCAACAGAACTTTTGGTGATGATAAAATATTCTGTATCTGTGCTGTCCAATATGGTAGCCACTGGCCGGTGGTAACTGAGCATCTTGGAATGCGGTTAGGTATGACTGAGGAACTGAACTCTTAATTTCGTTGTACTTATTTTAAGTGTAACTATAAATAGCTGCATATGGCTACAGTGTGAGCTAGCATGATTCTAGAACCCATGGCCCACTGTTGCTTGCCTACCCCATGGCTACCTTCCCTCTTTCTTGATCACCAAACGTCAGTTTTGTTCAGGCAGTCAGAAGCCATGTGTTTTAGGGGAGAGAGACTCCTTCCGAGCTCTCCAGGGGGAGGGGAATGTTGATTAGACTAAGCCAGTTGTGGGAGTCATATTCCCCTTGCAAGTGATTGGTTTAGGAATAGGCAAATGGTGCATGTCCAGTCAACAAGACATAGAAGGAAGTCTGCTGGAGCATTGTGAGAATGTTCTCCAGGATCTTAAAAGGGGTCCTAAAAAGGGCAGAGTCCCTCTTTTGGTCCTTAGGTTTTTGTGTGAGGATCTGATGCTTAGCATTGCTGGGGCTCTCTCATGCCCACGAGGGGATGAAAACAAGTATGCTGAGAATGGCCGATGTAAAAGGTGGAAGGAACCTGGGTCTTCAGTGATGTCCCCCAGCTATGTCATAACCAAACTTGGAATTGTCCTGCCTCCTCTGTTGTGTGAAATAACAATTCCCTTTATTACTACGGATATTTGAAGCTGGGTCTTCTGTTACATGCAGCCAAAATATTCTTTTGGGATTAGCAAACCCAAAGTTTGTACTTATTTTAAGTGTAAACATGGCAGGCAGTCCATGTTTCTGTGTCCAATGCCCATTGGAGGGCAATGCACCCTTTGGTCCAAGCACCTTTTCTCATCATTCTTCTCAAACGAATGTTCCAAGCAGCCACCAACAGACAACTGAATTAATATGCTAAACATCTGTTTGTGACTCCTGTTCTAGGGCAAGAGAACACAGGCATGTGCCTTGCCACAAATTCCCCCACAAACTTTTTCTTCCTGATGGTCCTCACAAATGGAAAGTGTTCCTGTAAAATCAATGATACCTTAACACCCATGATACCAGCCCACACAAATAATTCAAATAAGCCTGAATCAAGGAAACAGGTTTTCTTTATGCCTACGCATATAAAAGAATGTACTTATTTAAAATATTATTTATTTTTGAGAGAGAGCAACAGAGCATAAGTGGAGGAGGGGCAGAGAGAGAGCGAGACACAGAATCGGAAGCAGGCTCCAGGCTCTGAGCTGTCAGCACAGAGCCCAATGCCAGGCTTGAATTCACAAACTGTGAGATCATGACCTGAGCAGAAGTTGGATGCTTAACCGACTGAGCTACCCAGGTGCCCCAGAAAGTATTTATTTTTAAAGGGTTAATTCATACTTGGAAGGGAAGTCAGTCACACAGCAATCCTTATTTGAATATAATGGAGCAAAAAATGCTCTTTTATTAACAATCCAATGTACATTAAATATCTTTGCAGCTGTTACATGAATGTGACGTATCTGGCATAGAAATGTATACACACTTCCACATCTGATAGATTTATGCTGTACACGAGTCACCCCACACAGAGCATGCCCTTTCACAAGGATACGCATGGATGTCTCGGGACATTTGTTAAAACATACTTGGTCAAACATTTTGGCAATTGGGAATCAGACACAGAGGAGCATACCAGAGAGATGAGTTCGCAACAGGACCAGCTGTACTGAAGATGGCAACTCCAGAAACCTGAAACAGAATTTATTGGGGTTCACACATGCAGCACATATATACAGTAGAATTGGGGTAACTGGAACTCCATAGCAGGAAGTCTTACAGAGCGGTGAAAACAGGAAAGAAACAAGAGAGAACAAAACACCCAGACGCCAAAACCAAGGACAGGACCACTGCCAAGATCTCTCTACAAAGGACAGTGGATCGTGGGTTTTGCATGTGTCCAAAACGAAGGTTTACCTGAAAGAAAAAGACTCTTGCAGAACTTTATTTACAGTATCTAGACACTAGTGAAGGACTCAAGATCTATTCAATATGTTCCTGGGTCAGGGTGAGGATACATAACCACAGTTTAGATGTTATAAAAGCACATATCAAGGAAGAACATTTTGTTTTTCTTCTGTTTGATTTAGGACATAGATTCGGCCCAATAAATGTATAATAATAGTGGTGGAAGTGAGATTAAGCAAATCTATCCAGTTCTACCTAGGCAGGCCTGGTGAATGTCAAAGGCAAGCAACGAGTTTCCTTCTTGGACATCTACTTGGGCGTGAAAGGGGAGACAATGTGCATCTTCAAATGAGTTCAGTTTTGTTTGCACAGCATGAAACAGCCAATTGACTATACATTCTCCCCGAAGGAGCAATCCTCATAGGAAGCAGTGGATTCTGGGCACTGTGGGTCCTATTCGGAGTCAAGGCAAATGCAGAAAGAAACCCTTTGTGAATTGACATGAGGTTGAGCTCGCCATGTCTTTCCTTCCCTCGGGTGCAGGGGCAATCCTGCCCCACAAATCGACAGGCTCCAATTTGGGGTGGCCTGGGTCAAGGCAGCGGGAGGCTATGCAATTCAGGGCTTTAGGTAGAACGGTAGGTAGGCGAATGATTAACAGAGTGATCTGTAGCCTTGGGGGTAGATTTCTGTGGTGTAAACACTCCTACCCTGGCCAATTTCAAGCCACAAACGTGATGTTACTGAACCTGGAGTTGGGGAGAGTGTGCAGTAGCACGCCCATATACGGTATTTCTACTCTACAGATCCAACAGGCATATATGACCTCAAGGGCATGGATAATTCTAAGTGTAGCAAACTCATTAGAAAGTGATGAGTTTTGCATATTTATTATCTAAGTGTAAGTTTACATAATTTTCAGTAATGTCTGTGTTTCTCACCCCGCTCCCAAAATTCCTGAAAGGATTGGCTCTGCGGAACTGGTTTGAGCCTGCCCCGACACGTCACGGGCTTCGGAGGACTTTGGTCCCTGTGAGCAGGCTCTGCCAGCCACTCCGCACCCCTGCTTCCAGGGTAGGCTGCTAGCCTGGTGTTCAACTCCCTCTGAAGAGAGGGCTGAGGGCTGCTTTCTCCTTCCTCTAGTTTTGGACACTCTTGGCTGCAAGGGGAGCATGGACATGGTGGCGTAAGCAGGGAGGGGACAGCCTCTGCAATGTCAGCATGTAATTCTGAAGAGAAAGCACCCAGCCTTCAGCACCAAGAAGACCCAGTGCAGGCACAGAGGGGTGCGTCTCCCTCCCACAGGTCAATGAATTCCGAGAACCTCTCTGCAGGCTGCCTCGTCTTTCAGGAGTCAGATGCCAAGCTCTCAGACTTCTGGCCCAGAGACGAGCCTCTCTCACACTCCACGCTAGTGGTACCCAGCTAATCCTGCACAGGACCTGAGCAGCAGCTGGCAATCTATCCCACTACAGGGAGCTGTGTCAAAACCAACAGTCTAGAGCTTATACCCCTTGGACCCCCTCCCATTCAACACCTTCTTCACCCATTGGGCCACCACCAGAGGCATGGATGGGCACAATCTTTAGCCCCAAGTGCACCAGTAAAGCTGGGCCTTGCCTTTGTACACTGCTGGAGTCGAGAGGTGACAACAGGAGGCGAGGGGAAGAAGAATAGATGGGGAAGAAAGGAAGTGAGTATGTACTCCTGGAAGAGGGAAGGAGGAGAGGGTTAGGGGGTGAAAAAGGAAATAAGGGCTCCCAGAGGGGAGGGGGCCGGTCACCAACAACTACTCCCCACTCTGCCTCCCCTCGGGGTCCAGAACCCCAAAGTCCTTGCAGTTTCAAGACATTTTGCAACAACTATGCACTGGTTTAACTCAAACTGAAATCTAAAACTCTCCTGTCCCTAACTGTCAGAACCTGTTCTCTGGGTGGTTTATCTGCCAAGGGTTGGAGGGGTGGGGGGAGCTGCTCTGGCATATCTGCAAAGGCAGCTGACACAGTTACAGGTCTTCAAAATCAGAAAGGAAACACCTCGGGAAGGGGGTGTGGCCACAGCCGAGGGATGTGCTGACTCCGCTCTGGAGAGAAGACTCCAGCACTGTCTGCTCTGGAGCAGACCTCCCAGCCCCCACCTCTCCTTTCAAACCATAAAAAGAATTCCTCCGAAGAAAAACCAACATCTCTATGAAGACGGGGCTATCTTTGCTGCAGATTCTTTTCCTTCGGTAATACTTTAGTGTGATTTTGTGTGGAGACGTTTAGAGAAAGACCAGGTGTGCCTCCATTTCTCTCATTTCCCAAGTATTACTTGGTAGTTCCTCTGACAGAGCCCAAGAAAATGAGGGGCTTTCTCCTCCTGTCAGTGATAGTCCCAATTTCTGAGTCGTTCCTCTACTGCCCACCATAGGCTACCCCTTTTAAATCTGGAAAAACAACAAGCTATGTTTACGGGGAGAGCACTTCAACGTGTTACGGGGATCAATATGAGATCCCATTACAGACGTTTTCTCTTTCACTCCCATTTCCTCTGCCTTCATTTAAGTCCAGCAAAGGGTTAACTGTCCACGTGAAGCACAATAAGTCCACCTAGGACATGGGAAGTGCTCCGTAAACACATATTGAATAATCACATGAGATGACAAGAGACCAGTGAATGCTCTGCCCAGCTCTTTGCCCCACCCACCCTTGCTGACCCTAATCAAGGCCCTAAACAGACCTATGAACCAGACCCTTGCAACTCAGAAGCCTAGGATTACTAAGATGGATGTAGGTATTGGTGGAGAAAGAGACCCTGGCAATGGCTGTGTCTGGTTGGTGAGACACTGTCGATAAGGGGAATGGTCAATATTTGGAGCAAAAGAACATTACATGGAGAACTGGCACTCCGTATCTGCAACAATAAAGAAACACGTATGTCTAGGAGATACTGACAGTTTTCTTTTGTCTACACTACACAGATCGTGAGGAAAGTTTCCTCAAAATGTACTGTGTTTGGCAGAAAACAAACACTGTAAGAAATGTGTAGCTCATTTCAGAGTGCCCTGTGGGGTAGGTTTCTTTTCGTTGTTGCCACATAACTGGTGTTTCTGTAGGTTTGATCACTGGACTAGGTTCAGCATGACATGGGGTTAAAGGAAAACAAAACACACAGCCAATATGCACCTTAACAACCGACCACTTGTCTTTCTATGATACCAGGTAAAAGCCAAAGTAAGACATTTCCAGCTTCAGAGCCTTTAGTGCATGAAGAGGTAAAGAAATAGATAAAGGCCATTGTGATATTAAATAGAAACATTGGAGACTATCATATTCTATTTTGGTTGGCAGGAGGAATCAATAGGTACTCCCATGAAATGGCTCTGAAATGATCCCAGGGTTTAGAAAGTCTCAACTTTCTCTTACTCCCTCTTAATCCCTCTCTTACTGTCTCATACTCCTTTCACTAGAACTTCTCAGCGACACCTTGGACTCTCCCTCTGTCACTACATTTCTTTCCCCACTTCTCCCATCATATCTAAAGACACTCAGAAAAGCAACAAAGCAGGTTTTGGTTGCACATCTGAAGTCTGATTTGGTGAGATTTGTAAATGAAGGTGCCTCTACTAACTTAGGTGATACCAATTAAAAACTCAGTTTCTGCAGGCCTAGGCCTTCCTGTTTCAACAATAAAAGGGAATAAGGAGTCAGGAGAGCTATAGGAGACAGACTCTGGGCTAGCATTTTGATCAGCGCATCTTCTAACCGTGTCCATCTGCCGGTGGGTCTCTTTCCTGACCAGGCAATGATAACTGTCAAACCAGCACTGAGTGGAAATAACGCTGAGAGTCCTAGGAAGCTGGCCGCACAGACAATATGGGAACTATATTCTCTGGCCTATTCCTAGGGGCTTCCCAAACAGCTTGCCCATTTGCTAATTTTTCTATTTCTAAACTAAACCTATTTGGTGCTTGTGAAGATGAATCCAGCATTGAGAAGAAGCCGGGACCCATCTGTCTTCTCTCCCTGGGTCAGTACTCTGGGTGTAAGGTGATCCCTGGCTGATGGGTTTAGCATTCTAGATTGATTCCAGTGAGAACATTTTAGATAGAAAAGGAGTCAAAAATATAGGAGAAAGTGGAACTGTTCCCTAGGCGTTCCTTTTGGCACATACTCCCGTTTTCCTTCTGTGGATGAAATAAGATGCTGGTTGCAGGTCCCAGTGCCAGCAGCCTGCTATATTGATAGGGCTGAGCTTCTGTTTAATCATGTGTCTCTATCTTAATCCAGCTAACCCTAGAACAAGCCAGACAGGCCATGCCACATACTTCGTGAACAACTTGAGCTCTCTCAGAGAAAATCAAGGTGATGGGAACAATGCAAGGGAGGCAGAGAAAACTTGCATTTTCTCTGAAAGGTGGGAAAGGTGGTGACCAAGAAGGTTTGTGACCGCAGACTGTCCAGGAGATTAGAATAGATCCCTCTTGGGCCACCTGGGAGGCTTGGATCAGGTGACAGGAAGGCCAAGAAAGGCCCTTCTGAAAGGGATGCGTGGTGTCAGGTCTCATGAAATGGGGGTTCTGCTGGTTTACCTCATGCTGACCCAACCAGCTATCATATAAAACTCTACACCTGCCGTGCTCTGTAGCTTGGGAGATATTTTACACATTTAGGGATACAACAGACATTGAAGACATTTCTGGAAGATAGTCCAGTAAGCAAAGTTCACTATCATGGAAGACGAGAGATAGTGACATCCATGCACATTTCTCTCTTTGGAATGGGTTGATGAAGATACACATCTTACTTTGGCAGTTGTTACTAAACATGCCGTATTCAACTAAAAAAGCCCTACTCAGGTCTCCACAATGGCTCTTTTTGAGAAGATAAATCAATGGGAAATGAATACATATGGAAGAAAAATATACAGGGTACCTTCCTGGGTTGACTGAATGCAATCTTTGTTCTACAATATTACAGAGGCAGAAGTGAGAGTCAGTTGTGTTTCTTTCCCTCCTTTGCTGGTATCAGTTGAAGAGATCTCATCCAGTCTTTATTGATTTTCCCTCTTCCTGCTACCTTTGCCATTTGGGGTTTGAGTTTTCCTGGTGTTTGGGGCCCTGAGCTGGCCTCCCCAGGGAACCAACCTATTCCTGCCAGACTCCAACACCACACTACCCTTTTTTACAGACCTGAATTACTCCAAGGGGTGGTCGATTAATGGCTACATTAATGAAAGAAGCTTTTCACAGAGTCTGCACTCTGCTATCTGGAGCTCCAGGAGAACGATTAGGAAGGGGAATGATTAGGTAGACAGCCTTCAGGGTTAGGACCGTCTTTGAATGTAATGGCTATTGGAAACAAAGGCTCTCCCTTCCCAGCATGGGGAGTCCTGGGGCTGTGGCCTGCTAGAAATGCCATAAAAGGTAACAAGGATAACCCTTTAACAAGGCGGAGTTAAAAAAAAAAAAGAAAAGAATATTGTTTTAATATGGGATTTATTCCTGGCTGCTGGTCTCTGCTGTGAATCTACCAGGAGGCTTCGGATTTCAAAGAAGATGGGTAAAAAGGACAAGCTTGGAGGAGGGGCAGCCCCGAGGGGTGAGAAGGTCACATAGCTGAGAGCCTGTGGGAATGTCCTGCGGACCTCTGTCTTCCAGGCCCAGGCAGATTCCAGCGGTGAAAGGAGCAGCCCCAGACCACCAGGAGATGCTGCCCATGTCTGCAAGAGGGGGCCCCGTGGACTAAGCAGGCTGGGACTCCGCACAGAGCGGTGGCTGGGAACACACTGGCCAGCGGAAGCTCGAGGAAGAAGACCCACTTCTGTCCATGCTGCCAGCTAGAAAGCCCACTGTCAACTGGGAGGCGGTAGTGGGGGTGGGGGGTGGGCACTGTCCTTCAGAAAAGCGGTACATCATTTTGCATTTCTAAATGGCTCTAGGGGTGAATCTCTACAGTGGAGACAGTGTGAATAAATGGCAGAATCGGGCAGGCAGATCCAGTTTTGTAGAAAGTGGCTTTCTCTCTTTGCATATGCTATCTGGCAAAATACAGGGCAGCTGGGGCGGGGGCAAGGAGGAGATGGGGGTAAACAGAGGCAGAAGATCTGTCTCTGACCTCTGATTTTCTAACGTCCTGGACCATAATCACCGACAGTACTGCGGTTCCTTCCCCGCATATTTTTCAGGACTTTAACTGGGCAGACATCCTGCTTGTGTAGTTAGTTCACTGAGATCTTTGCTGCTAACGGCATGGCCTTTATTTCTCTTGTCAGCAGAGTCACCTTCACTGTCATGCCCGAAAGAGCCCCACCCAGCTCCGTTTGGGGCCACATGGTTTTCTTTGAAAGGCCCTGCTAGAACAGCAAGAAGTGCTGGGTGTCCTTTGCTAAGTAAACAGGAAATATCACTCTGATTGGACAAAAAAAAAAAAAAAAAAAAGAATCCCTCTCCTCAGCACAAATGCAACAATATGCCAACTTCTATTTCCTGTGGATGTTAAATTAGAAAGAAGATGTATTTCTTAGGGCAGCGAAGGCTTCTCACCCTTCAGTGATCAGAATCTCAGGGAGGCCTGGCTGACGAGGGCACTTAAAAAATGCTTCCACTGGTAGCATCCCAGTCAGGAAAGATAGCAACGCATGAACAAAACTGCAAAATCACATACAAGGGGCAGGATGGTATGCAAATAAATTTTAGTGATGGCAAGGGTTAGTGTTCTGATATTTCACCACATTTTGGTATCTGAAAAATCTGAAGCCTTGAGTCAGGAGTGTTGACACAGGGCAGGAGAAAGAAACGCAGGACGGATGGCTTTTTTCCCATTACATCAGGACCTGGGTTCGTGTGTCAGGCAGGCGCAACCCCACCAGTCCTCCACACACGAGCACAGTGGAGGCCAGCAGGATGGGGATTGATTTGGTGAAGCTGACCAGGGAGCCGAATATTAAGTTTCCAAGGACGGCCGCTGCTTTGCACAGTGCGTTCAAGAAGCCAAAGCCTGTTGCCCTGCAAGGGGAAGAGACACAAGACAAGGTTGACAAAGTGACTCTGCAGATGCAGCCTTAGACGCAAACATCCTACGGGGGAGTGTTCGAGGATCTCCACGAAGAGTTTTGTACATCATTAAGGCAAATGATCAAATGCTTGTTAGCACATCTGGAGGCAGGGAACCCCAGCTGTGGGCATTGTTCCTTCAGCGCGTGAGTTTCTCAGCACCATGAGTGATTCTTGTCTTGCCCATAGGTTCCAGTTTATCATGAACAGAAAGAAAAAGGAAATTGCAGGAAGAAAAGTCTCTTCTCTCTTCTTCCAGAGTTAAATTAAAATAAATATAAGACCACATTTTCCTTAGATTCTTAACTCCCTACTTTCTCACAGCTTAATTAACGTGCAAGACTTTAAATAACTAAAGCCATGGTATTCTCAGAGACAATCAGGGATGACTGGGTTGTATTCCTCCCCTTTCTGGTGCCATAGAGGTAAATTGTCATGCTCACTTCACAAAGGTTTTGGTAGCAGGCAAACACTGAATACTGAGCTGGGTGGCCTGCCAGGGAGCTAATGGTACTTCCTCCTTCCTCATGAGACTTCCACGTGGGAAATCAAGTCCAGAAAAATACGACAGGGGACAATCAGATCGTAGGCCTAGAGATGATCTTGTTCACTCTACTGGCATTTGAGACGGGCAGGTGGTATATAAATAAGACCACATCCCATTTCTTGACACATTCTTCAGAAAAGAAGAGACGTACTGTCTTTATGTGCATTGAATGGGATTTTACCATGGACTTCTAGGCAGGAGACTTCATGTGGTTCACGAGGGGACGGACATCATGCGAGAATATGGATTTCCTCTGCCTTTATGCCAGTTCAGTTTTTTATGCCTCCCCGGGTACATGTGTGAATTGAAAGCAAATTGAATGCAAGATAATGGGTGGACACATTTTTCCCCCTCCAGAGGGAAGTGCATTTTCTATGCTGTAAAATGCGGCATCTGGTACACATCTTTCTTTGATTTGTAAATGTGTACGCGTGGGCTTTCCTTCAGCCGGTCAGTCGTAACAACTACTCATCACTACTTGTGCTGTTCCTAGAGACATTTTCTACAACATGTAGATGTTTGTTGTGGTTATTAGCTAACTGACCCCCTTCCCACACCATAGAGAGGAATAAGAACTCCTGTAGGAAGCGAGCCTGGGAGTTCGTGCAGGGGCCAGTGAGTCCAGGGGTCAGAAGAGACCGGAAAGGGGGCAGCAAACACCAATCCTCTTTTTGGCCAAAACACCTAGAAAGTAGAGTACTTGGACCTCTGCAGTGTGGCAAAGTTGCCACCTGTTTGCAGTGTGGAAGGGGTGTAACAGAATCTCTGACAGCAAAACAGGAACTTCTTGAGAAGAGAGTAGGCTAATTTTATATTCTTCTTCTTTTTGCTTTGTTTTTAAGCAAAGAGACTAGTAGTAGTAACAATGACTAGAAAGATAAGATTTAACGTGCTGATAACTATTTCCAAATGAAATTGCAGGAAGCTGCAGGTTGGGCACCACAGAGGACCTAAGTAGGACGACATCATCATCCGCTGCCTTCTTCACCTCCATGGAGATGCTACGAGGCTGAACTTTTTTTTTTTTTTAAATACTTTCTTGAGTTTTAGGTTTTCAAAAAACTTTTCAAAAAATTGAGTGAAAAGCAAAGACAGTTCCCATATATCCCCCTCACCCCGCACTGCCATTATTAACATCTTAGTGTGGTACATATGTTCACAATTGATGAACCGATATTAATACACTGTTATTTAGTCCTTAATTTAGGTCAGGGTTCATTCTGTGTTTTATAGTCTGTGGGCTTTGACAAATGTATCATGGCACATATCCACCATTACAGTATCATACAGAGTAATAGTTTCACTGCTCTAAAAAATCCCCTGTGCTCCCCTTATTCACCCCTTCTTTTTCGCCAATAACCTCTGGCAACCACTGATCTTTTTACGGTTTCCATAATTTTGCCTTTTCCTGAATGTCATATAGTTGGAACCCTACAGTAGGTAGCCTTTCAGATTGGCCTCTTTCACTTAAAAAAAAAAGTCCTTTTTTGAGAGAGAGAGTGCCAGACCCGGGGGGGGGGGGGCGGGGGGGGGGGTGCGGCAGAGAGAGGGGGAGACAGAAGATCTGAAGCTGGCTCTACACTGACAGCAGAAAGCCCGATGTGGGGCTTGAACTCACATATCAAACCAACCGTGAGATCATGACCTGAGCCAAAGTAAAATGCTTAACGGACTGAACCACCCAGGCTCCCCTCTTTCACTTTTTTTAAAACCACATTTTAGTTTCTAGATTCTAGAGTCATAAATTAGCAAATACATCTTACGGCAGTAAGATAAACTGTATCATTCTGCGAAAAATGGCTAGTGTGTATGTTGCTGATAAGAGGAAAACTTTCTTCCGTAGGAAGAATTCTCTCCATGCTGAACCTACAGAGGGACCCAAGCAGAAATTACAGCTGGGTTAAAATAACTGTATTTCCCCAAGCTGTCACTCAAAACAGGGCATAAAATACGAGCATCTCTCTCCTTATGTTATGGACACTGGAGCAGAGGAATGGACAACTTCCTGAGATTTCTGGACAGAACTAAGAGACATACACCAGGAGCATCTGGTATCAGAAGCTTCTAAAACAAAAACAATGGTCAGATCTTTATATCCGGACTCTCCATTTTCCTTTACCACGCTGAGGCAGTTCTGCACATGAAAATCTGGTATGGATAAAAGCACACAGCTTCCTGGGGCGCCTGGGTGGCGCAGTCGGTTAAGCGTCCGACTTCAGCCAGGTCACGATCTCGCGGTCTGTGAGTTCGAGCCCCGCGTCAGGCTCTGGGCTGATGGCTCGGAGCCTGGAGCCTGTTTCCGATTCTGTGTCTCCCTCTCTCTCTGCCCCTCCCCCATTCATGCTCTGTCTCTCTCTGTCCCACAAATAAACGTTGAAAAAAAAAAATTAAAAAAAAAAAAAAAAAAAAAAAAAAGCACACAGCTTCCTGAAATTAGCGTTGGGATTTGAGACAATGTGACCATCCTTTCCTTGGATAAGTAAATTCTTTCTTCAAATACTTGTGAGCAGAAGGGTATGATTTCCCATGCATCGGACACACAGCTGTCTTACAAAAATCATTCTCAAAGTAGCTCTCCTTTGCGGGTTATCTGTTTATAAAGTAAATAACCTTTTAGTTCATTCATTCCCTTGGTCTTATTAAAGGAATGCCATTAACTCCTACAGACACACAAAGTACAAGTCACCCCGTGCTCATTAAGTCCTTGGAGGGTGGAGAGAGAGCCCAGAGTTTGCAAAGGCTGGAATTCACTGGCTGACTTCTCAGCAGCAGCACAAACTAATGAATTTTTTTTTTTTTCAGACCAAAGATGTTCTGTGCCTTCTTGTATCCAACAGGTACCAAGGAGAAAGAATGAAATGATCTACTATCTTTCTATAAACTCCATCCCTTGTTCCCCTACCTCTCCAGACAGAATCCTTTGTTTTCAATTCTTGCTCAACCTACTTAAATCTTTTAAGTGGAAATTCTTTTCCCAAACAGCAGTCCTGTTCCACATTTTATCCAGGCGGCTTTGTCCCTGCCCCATTAACTCCTCCTGTCTGAGAACCCCAGTGCTAGTGCAGGGACCTGGCTCACCGCAGCCCTCGGCCTCAGCTGATGGCGGATGTGGCCGCCAGCCCTTCCTCACTGCAGCCGGACTGTGCTTTCTCCAGGGCCTTCACCATGTTGTAGGGGCCGGTTCATTTATACCATTTCCAGCTTTGGTTAGAGGCTGGGAAAAGGAATCTGCTGGCACCATTCCGGAAAGTGAGGATAGTTTTGCCCTCACATTCAGCCTCTTTCTTATTTGGTTTTTCCGACTTCAGGGCAGGGTCAGCGGGGGGTTTTATGGGGCTCCTGGGAAGAAGCAGGGGGTGCTGACTAGTAGCGGCATTTAGGCAATGCCCAGCACGTACTAGGCACCATGCCAGCGTTAGCCATTTTAAACACTGACTGAAGCATCTGCCCCGTTGAATGCTGAAGTCAGGAAAACAAATTAGGGGTGCCTGGCCGGCTCAGTCAGGACAACATGAGACACTTTATTTCAGGGTTGTGAGTTCAAGCCCCACGTTGGGTGTGGAGCCTACTTAAAAAAATTAATGAGAAAAAAAGGAAAACCAATTAAATGCTCATTTTGAAAGGCCCGCAATGGCACAGATCCAGACTCAGCTCATGGGATGTACCTGTTAAGGGGTAAAATGTAAGCATTCTCTTTGCTTAGTCTAAACTTTTGGGGAAAACTGTTTTTGGGTAACTCAGTCAAATCAGTGGTAGAAGTTAGAAAAGGAATACTAAGGACTCAGCAAGGGGCATTTTGGAACGTATAGGCAGTCCTTAAATCAGTATTACAGTAGTCCCTTCTCATTTGCAGGGGGGGGGATGCTCCAACAAAGACCCCCAGGGGATGCTTAAAACCACAGAGAGTACCGCACTCTATACACATATTTTTTCCTATACATACTTACCTAAGATAAAGTTTAATTTATAAACTAGGCACAGTAAGATCAACCATAACTAAAAGGAAAGTGGAACAATTATAACAGTATACTGTCATAAAAGTTATTTGAATGTGGTCTCTCAAAATATTGTACTGTACTCACTCTTCCTTTTTTTCTTAAGATTTTATTTTCTTAGTTTTATTTTTTAAAAACGTTTATTTAATTATTTTGAGAGAGAGAGAGAGAGAGAGAGAGAGAGAGAGAACCAGCGGGAGAGGGGCAGAGAGAGAGAAGAGAGAGAATCCCAAGCAGGCGCCATGCTGTTAGCACAGAGTCTGACACAGGGCTTGATCCCACGAACCGTGAGATCGTGACCTGAACCGAAACGAAGAGTCAGACGCTTGAGTGACCGCGCCATTCAGGTGCCCCTCAAGACTTTATTTTTAAGTAATCTCTACACCCAGTGTGGGGCTTGAACCCACAAC